GTACATCCTTACAAGAGGACTGATTTGATTTGGCTTGTAAGAGTGCGTGATCAAAGCTACAACCTTATGACCAACACTACAAATCTGCCGCTAGGGCATTGGACTCAGAATCCAGAGATCCAAGGTTCGATCCCCAGTCGGGTCACTCACCTTTCTTCCTTCCGAGGTTGATAAATGAGCATCATTCTGAAAAGGGAAACCGAACACTACAGACTACACTTTTCGCACAGTTGCTGTAGACTCTGCTGTCATAAAATAAAGCACTCTCAGCTGATGGCATGGAAATGAAAATCAGCACCCTACTGTTAACGGCAAGAAAATGAGGACGCATCCGTGAAAGCATAAGACCGATGTCCCAGAGGTTGCAATTCATTTTTCTAATCAGAAGAGGCCAGAATTTATTTGCTGCAGGGTGTAAGTCATCATGTTTCGATGTAGTTCACGAATATGGCAAGTAAATGTCGTGAAGTGCTCAGGTCAACTTCATACGCATGTGGTGCGAAAAAGTCAAAATCGATTGGTGATCACCTGTCGAGCAGCGGGTCGTAAGATTCACAGGAAGATAATGACGTAACTCCATCGTAACCTGCAAATCGTAATAAGTACTTTCTTCATAAACCGTTAACAGCTTACCGCCGCAAGCCTAAAAAGACAATTTAAGCAAAATTGGGAAAAATTTGTTTGGCAACCTTTTAACATCTTAAGCATCGGCAACAACTTAAGTCTACCATGCATTTGATTAATGAAACTGATCTGAGTACCGCCGCAGTTAGAAGACGAGCTTTTATAGACGAATTTACTGCAAGATTAAAGATACACAAACAATGACATTTATGTCTCAAATGCCTTACTGGCATTACAGCCCAAATTTCCTCGGCGAATGAAATTATGGGAAACGCATTTCACAGGCATTAATACAATGAAGCTGTGGCCTGCTTAGACGATCCCTCATGCATTTTGAAGCATAGCGAACTATAATCCAATGCGGTGGAATTATGCACAT